CCCTTAAGAGAATGACAGTTGTTTGAAAAATCCCACACTTTTAACTCAGTCAGTAGCCAAATTGACAAGAATATGCATACTTTCAGAAAGCAGGTATGAGTATATGAGGATTAAATGAAAATTAAATGAAATGGTTTTATTATGATATTTTTTAATTCCTTTCTCTGTGGCCAGGGATTCTTACTGTTTCACAGTAAGAAGTCATATTTCAGCAACAAATTCACAGGGCTGGAAATTAATAAATGCCCTTTTTCAGGGCCTCTAATTTCACCTCTGTTTTTTCACTTATACTCTTCTGGGTCTTCTGGTTAGTTTACCTTAATGGTAAACATTCAGTCATTTTAGTGTAATAGTGCAGCTTGTACCATACAAATGTGTGGAATGTACCTTTCTTATGCAGTATTCTCTGAATTATTTTCTTGGTACAATTTCAACAGGTGCAAATATTAGCTTGAATTTCCATCATTCTAAAGATAAAATCTGGGACAGGGCAGTGCCTTGTTTCCTCTTAAGAAAAGTGCAATTTATGGATATTATTTGGTTGATTAGGACTTTAGAGCTCAGGGTTATAGTATAGAAGCTTAGTCCACTTTAGGGAAAGCAATCTTAGTAAACACATTATCAAATATGTGTCTCATAAATCCCCCATGAAATGAACCAAATATCAAGGTCTGTTACTGTTAACTTCTTGTTGTCTTGATTTTCTTCCACAACAAAATGTGTGAATGGCTGATCTCCCATACAAAAGGATCCTACTGATAGTTTTATTTGGCTTTTCCCCCTAGATCCTATGCAATTGTTTTAGCAGGGGTATTTCATATGTTGAGTGAGTGCTGTATTTAGGACCACATATGTGTAATCTGCACAGAGTATTAAAAGTTCTGAGTACAGAATATATAGTTATGTGAAGCATTATAGTGTAATATATAGCCTTATATACCAGTAACATTTGCCTAGCCCTACTGCTTTTAGGAATATAGTTTTCCTCCTACTTTGTCTTTCACTCTTTGAGTTTATTCCTATATGCTTCCTGATTTACAGTGTTTCACACTCTGCTCCTTTGTGTTAATCTGTAAGGACAGACTCCAGTGCTGAAAGTGCAGGATCCCAGAGCACCCACACAAACAGACTGAGGGAAGGGATTGTAGTGCACATCTCGTAATTAAGAAATGTGCTCAGAGTGTTAACAGCATCAACAACTGGTATTTCTGTAAAAAAAAAATCTTAATTATGCTGCCACTTCTCTTGTTTAGACTACAAACTGGCCTGAGTACCTGGACTATCTTCTACATTACATTTATGTCAGCCTTTGGAAATCAGTTAGTATGCACAGATGGGGACAGATCTGCAACAACATCCAGTTCGTTTGGACACATGTATGCATTGAAACACCCTCGTTTGGTAGTAGCTCCAGTTGTTCTGTAAAGTCATCCTTAAAGGACTGGGCCATTAAAAATTGGACTCAGGAGAAATTTTAAAAAAGCAGGTTCTATGGAGTCTACCACAGTCTTTCAGGTGCACTGTGATCTGCAGGTATTATGGTGGCTTGGGAAATAAATGTCACCTCATCTCTTTCAGTAGGTAATTCAATACAGGCTTTTTTCAGTGTATAGCTAGGTCAATTTTTGTCTATTCCTGGGATGCTCAGCTAATTTTTTTATTATAGGGCATTCTCAGATTCCTTCCACTTTTCCCCTTTGTTCACAGTTATCAAATCTCCCAGTTACTTCAGGACATCATTGTGTTACTTACTGCTGACAAAAACTAGCCCGTGTATTCCCATTTTTGGTGAGTTTTTATGTGAAGCTTTCCTATCAGTTTTGTATTCATTAGCTGAAGCAACAGATGGGTATCTCCATAACAGCAAGGAATTGTTTCTGTCAGGTGTGGGAGGGAAGCAGGGTGAGAAGGACTGGGGCCCTCCAGCAGTAACAGAAGCTGGAAACCCCAGTGTGAAGCCAATGTGCCTGCAGTGCCACTGCATCTTTCCGTGTCAGCCGAATGGGAGTTTCCACTTCCCTCCTTACTTTGTTCTCTGAAGGTGCTAAACACTCAGCAAGAATTTTGTTCTTTTGGCTGTTGTTAAGATGAAGAATCTGGAATTCTAGTCTTGCAGAAATAATGAGTATACTTATGTAAGGACACTTGTAAGACGCAACACAGAGTACTTACAGGAGCAGCAGAGTGGCTGCTCCCTCGGCCCGTATTGTTCCTATAGGCTACCTGCTGGGCTCATTGTCAGAGGTAATGTCCTGCTCTGCCATAGCTGAACGAGAGGCTAAGTATGATAGATTTATTCTCAACCTCCCACCAAGACACTAATTCCCGTTCCAGCAGCTATTTGTTCCCTTGCCTTTAGTCTGCTCCTTCCCAGGTTTGCCACGCCCCTCCCTTCCCGCCCTGCAGGGCTCCGCTCCACGGGGAAGGAGAGGGGGCAGCCTTTGGAAAGGAGCGTGGCTGGCTCCAGAACAGCGCGGCTGGGTGTGCTTTGCACCTTCTCTGGGCTGCTAAGCGTGTAATTTGCACCCTGTGAGAAGCGGCTTCCCCTGGTGTCCCGCTCCCACGGGGCCGGCGGGGCTCGGGGACGCGCGGTGGCCGCGGGCGGGGGGCGCAGCCCCGGCCCGCCCCGCACCCGGCTCCCGGCCGGGGCAAGGCGGGGGTGCGGGCTGCAGCAGCTGGGATTCAACCTGGCCCACTCACCATAAATAGCAAACTGAGCCTGCCACGAGGCAAGCAGATGGATGTGGTGCTCTTTGGTTCCTTCCAGTTACAAAAGTAATTATTTTTTCTTGAGTCATGCCTAGCAGTGGTACAATTATTTTTGGACCACCACCAGGGCAGCACTGATATGACGGTCGTTTCTGTGGTACAGCTGCTGGCCATTACTTGTGGCAGAAGTATGAAATAGTGTGTTTAGACCTTTTTTTTTATTTCTAGATATTTGTGCAACTCAATTTAAAATTTTCTTATTGTCTAGTAAGACAGTGTATGGGGCTGAGCGCCCAAACTGAAACACATTAATGGACTCTGAACCTTGATAAGCACTGCAAAGATTGTCTGTCAAGGATAACCATGTAAGTCTGTGGGACATTCCAAATGTACTTTTTCCCAAAAACTTTGTCCAGACACCTGGGTATATTCCATAGACATTGCTGCCTACAGTTGTGTAGTTTGAAAACAAATCCCTTTTTTTGGTGTATTATTCAAGTAGTAAACCGATATGGAGCTCAATGGAGCTCATCAATATTGATGTGATTATTGTATTATTTTTATGTACTGATTGTATTATTTTGTGTTCGCTGTGTAGCATTTTTAGAAATGGGACCCTAGGATGCATCTTGAGTGACACTATTGGAATGGCTGGGTGACGTTCCAGCATTTAATTTAGCTGAGGTCGGAGGACTAATTCTTAGGCAGAGCAGTGAGTACAGACCTGAGGCTCTCCATACAGTTAGCAGTGAGAAACATTTTCCTTTAAAAGACAGACACCAGTCTAAGTTTTTCCATTACTCTAGGCAGTATGTAACTGCTGCCATCTCTCCCATGCTCGTGTATTCACGTCCATATGGGCTACTGCTTGCATCCTTACCTCCAAAGGAAGTTTACTGTTTTATAAGTGGACAGTGACACTTCTCTGCTTCTGTGGTCCCATGTGAAGGGGATTATACTCCAGAATGAGCCATTAGGAGATGTTATGTATTGTGACTTTCATCCTTTGAGGGAACTTATTTGCCTGACAGCTGATGACAGAAAATTTACTTGTCTTTCTAAGATCAACAGCAAACAGGAGACAGTACAAGAGACTCTGGTGCTGATTTTCAGGACACTTGAGCAGGATTGTAAAGCTGTGTTTTCCCCTCTTCCCCTTGACACTAGCCATTGTGACATATGGTCAGCATTTGACATGGCCACAGCTGAGCAGCTCCCCATTTAGGTCTGGGCTGCATCTGCCTCCAGAGACTCAGGTGGAATGTGAGCCATCTGTCTAATGCTAAATGCAGAGCCAGCCCAGGGATTGTGCCCTTATATGACTTTTTCTTTTATTTCCTTTAAATAAAAAGATTAATCATTCTTGATCTTACAAGTTTGAAAACAATGGAGGGTTAGAAACTACAGCTGGGAAAATGTTTTGGGGGGCTCCTAAAGACAACAAGCTCGTTGACATATGGAAGCAAGTCCAGTGGAGAGCAATTAGGGACTTGAGCATACAAGAGGAAAGACTTCAAGAGCATCTGGCTTTGTGCATCTTGGAGCAAACCCAGCTTTAATGGGATGTTGTAGAGAGGATACAACCAGTCTTTCCACCTACAAGTTGCAACTGCTGTACATTAGAAAAAAGCTTACAGTAATCAGGACAGTCAACACTGGAAGCAAAGGAGACCTCCATCACCGAAGATCCTCAAAGTTCCAAGGGCTCTGAGCATCCAAATGCAAGCTTGGCTGTGCCTTGGGTGAAGTGCAGGAGCACATGACCTGCAGACATCCTTTGCAAACTAAATGATTTGATAGTAATTTAGCACATGGCATGAAGGCAGGGAACTGGCAGCTGCGTGCTAGGGGATAGCATGAGCACAGGGCAGCTGAAGCCATGCATAATTTATATCCTATGATCATCATGGCATGAACTATTTCCCTACTCTTTAACCGGGTGTGTTGGCAGACTATCACTATCAGATCAGATCAGATCAGATCAGTGCTGCAGTGGTTCTTGTAATGCGTTATTTGGTTGTGGCATGCTAGTCATTACTTTTCTCCAAGCAGTGAGATTGATATTGGCAATGTGGTGACTATTTTGGCATTATTTGCACCAGGCAGGCAATACTCAGTCACATAACAACTGCAGCTGTGTTCATATCTTGTTATATGTAACTGTTCACTTCTGCAGTGTCTATGGGTACACCAGCCTCAATCAACTGAGCATTTCTTCAACTTTCAGCATTTAAAGGCTTGTGAAAATATTAAGGCAAACACACATACTACTTGCATTTCACCCTTCTTACCCATTGTATTGTCATAATTTTTTCCTTGTGTAGTCCCATGATGACCATCAATTCACTGCCAGTGGCAGGGACTTCCTTCTGACCAATGTCTGAAACAGGGAAGATCCACCAGAGACTCACATACCCAAGAAGTTAAAGACACCCTTTCCTGCTTGGGGCAAAAAACCCAAGCCTGTATCCATATCAGCCAGTGTCCCTGACTTATTTCCTTCTGCAGATACCCTTGTCCCAGGACCCAGAATGCTGTGAGCTTGCAGAGTCACTTACCATTTGATTGTAATTTAAGAGACATTTGGCTGGAATTTACTGTCTCTCTCTGTCTCTCCCTTTTTCTCTCTCATGACCTCTCAAAACTCTTTCCAGTCCCAATTTCCAGAGCTATGCAGAATAGAACATAAACCAATACCACTATCTCAGCCAGGCTAATGTTTAAGTATTAGGTTTAAGATTTCACTTATGAAAAGGACACAAAATAATGCAATCAGAGGCCATGAAGAGGGAACTTTGGACATTCTGGGAGAAAGACACATGTAATCTGTTAATTATAAATGCTGGAAGCCTGTTTTGACTCTATAAGCATTCAGACATCTGGAGAACTACATATGTTGCAAAGAATATTGAAATTCTCACTGAAAACAAAATTTTTTGCTGTCAAGCTGGAAGACATAATTTTATTGCACAAGACAATGACAAATAAGTTCACAACCTTTGACCTGGAAGTCTAATAAAACACTAGTGCTGACACAGTATCAGACAATACATAAAAATGATAAAAAAGATAAACAGGAATGGGGCATGACTTCATATAGATGCCTGAGTCATGTGTAATTTAAGGATCCTGGAGTAGTTTCTACCAGTTTCATCAGGCACATCATTCAGCAACACCTTAAACCCAGACACTGCTTCTGGCCCCTGGTTCAAGAGCTCTTCTGCTGGATGGGTGTCAAGCAGACAAAGAAGAAACTTGTCCCATTGGCTGTGTTTAGTGACATGAGTCAAGCTTTTCTTGTCTGAAGAACTTCTCCTTTACCCCACTGTAGCAAAGGTGAGGGTGAGGGGGTGACATCTGGCTGGGCAAGCAGCTGTGTGAGCATTGTGGGGTCCACAGCACTGCTTTCAAGGTGAATCAGAGGCTAAGAAGTAGGTGCTCAGTGAATGTCATAGCTTGTAGCCAGCAAGGTTTACCCTCCCACCCCATGTCAGTTTGATCCCTGAGCCCGTGGGTGTAGGCTTGGGTCACCAAGGCACTGTCACAGACAGGGTGCTGCTGTTGAGTCACCAGCTGCCACGCAGAGTGACCGTCAGCCCGCCAGGCAATAAACTGAGTAATATTTGATATCATGAAGTGAAAGCGAAAGACAACACAAATGACACACGGCTGTACCTGGTGCTCCCGGATCTCCTTACTCTTTAATTCCACTGGGAAGCCTCCATGGGTGCTGTGGTCTGGAGCAGGCTTTGAGCCACCTCCTAGGTGATCGTAGGACTGGGATGTGCCACTGACACGGAAAGGCTTTGCTTTTAACATTTTGTCCCTGAAAATGCTGCTGCTCATCTTTTAGGTGCTTGTGGCATGCAAACAGAAGTTGGTGGTTAACCTCAGCTGTCTAATGCTTATAGTAGTAACTGGCAGTGACATTTGTCAAGAGTTTTGTTCTCAAGCACAGGGAACACTGAAGTGTGACAGGAAAGGAGAAAATGTGTGAAAAACAGGAAAAGGAGGGGAAGCTGCTCATGAATTTCAGAGTCTGGGGCTACACTCGGTGAGGCAGAAGGCCAGACTGAGCCTCAGAGTGGCAAAGGTGAGGTGGCATATGATCTGAGATAAGATGCAGGGGCTAATACTACAGGCAGCAGTACTATTAGCCACTAGGAGTATTAACTAGAGTAGTAGCTACAGGCAGCACTCAGGCTGTCCTGTCCCTTCCATCAGCTTGCACCTCTCTGTGCCATGAGGGTGCCACAGAGGTTTGTGAGGAGATGGGGTGGGAATCTTTCTTTTCATCCTGTGAAAATAGGGATTTCAGAGCAGGAGAGCAGCCAGCTGTCCTGCTCTGAAATAGAGGAATAGAACCTCTCTGTGCCATGAGGGTGCCACAGAGGTTTGTGAGGAGATGGGGAGGGAATCTTTATTTTCATCTTGTGAAAATAGGGATTTCAGAGCAGGATAGCAGCCAGCTGGGAATAGAGGAAAGAGCCAGCTCCAAAGTGACTGGAAACTCCTGGATTTGCTACAGGAGTAACCTTTCTCTGTAGACTGCTACTAGGAAAAATGAAGAATTCAACATTTTCTCAGGATAGTTTGCCAGAAAATATTGTCTTCATTTAAGATCAGCAGTAATCAGAGAAATGTGTTTCATCAGGTCTTTCTCATTCCAGGGACTTGGAGAGGACAATCCTTAAACCTTCTTCCTGGAGGCACATCTTTGGTCTCCAGCAACAGCTTGGGCAGGGCTCTGGAGCTCTGCATGTGGCCTCTGAAGGAAGCCCGTGAGCATCTGCAGAGGTGGAGTACCACCAACCTTGCTCTACGGATCAGCTGCAGTGGCAGAGTGATGAGATACCCCTGTTGAATCCCAAGGAATGGGATGAAACTCAGGGAATCAATAAGCTCTAATTTCCCAGATGCTGTTAATTTAAAAACTAAGGCAGATGAGGCTAAAAGCTTTTTAGGGGGGAGAATGATGAATGCAATCTGCTGTTGCTGCTGCTGCTGTTGCTATCATTACTAATAATGAAGAATGGCTTTTTTTTAAAATTTCAATTGCCTGTGAAAGGCTTCCCTGGTAGAAGCTGGATCAACTGCTTTCCCAGATAGGGGGAAAGCCCCCTCTGACACCCTCTGCTGTGGTGTGTCAGTGTAAGGCTTGGAGCCCCTGCCCTGCTGAGCAATAATCAAGGGAGAATGTTTCTCTGGGAATCCTGCTCCCATGGCTGCTCTCACCAGCACTGCTCATGTGTCTGGGAGGGAGCACCGCAAGCCTGTGACAAGGTCATAACCAGTCCTATGGAGGAGAATTCCTTCAGGGTTTTGAAATGAGAAATGCAATATGCACACCCTCTGAAGCCTCCATCCTGTGAGAGTGAAAAAAACCAAAACAAAGTGCCACAACATGTATGGGGCACTGTCCTGGGGAAAGTGATGGATTTCCTTCTGCTGCAGACTTCCTGCTGCAGTTGTAGGGCTACAAAGTGAGGCACCTCACAGCCCAGCACAAGGCAGCTGAGAAGAAAGCCCCTTTGCCTTGGGCACATTACTATTGGATCATTCTCACTGCTTGCTTGTCCTTCTGCTGGGGTAAGGTGTGTTGAAAGCAAAACCACTGATTTCCTGCAAATCAGTCATGCTGGCACTGTGTTTTGCTGGAAGCATTGCTTTTGGGGCAGGAGGCGTTCATGGGGGACAGGAGAAAGACACTGATCTGCACTCTGCCCCCAAGGTGGGAGTCTAACAGGAATTCTTTGAGACACTGATCTTTTATGAGACAGACGGAAAAAAAAAAAGCCAAAAAGTAACAGCTTTGATAGCATTTAAAATGACTGCCCAGATAGTTGCATGCATCCCAGCAGAGCTTACTTGAGAATAACTGCATTTTCATTTAATTTTCATGTAGAGTGCTGAAACAACAGCTTTTTAAAGCACTCCTTTTGCTCAGTGGTACCTGCTTTCCTGCTCCATGCTTAATCTCTTTTGTACCCTAGCTGTTTTTTTATCAGTTGTGTTATAACTTCACTTAGGCAGGGACATGCTTTGGTCCTTCCACCACTTTGCTCAGTAAATGCCCTGAGGTGTTTGCTGAAGCTTGCACTGCATTTTATCCAGTTTCAGTTCATCTGCAGAATCCTACTTGGTCAAATAAAACTCTTGAGACAAGTCTGAGTCGGCTCAGCCTTTTGTTTTCAAACAATGTAACATAGAAGCATATGATCTTCCTTTACCAAAGAGAAAAAAAAGGCAGGAAGGCAAAAGAGATGCTTTAAATATTTTCCTGAACTACACAATGATGAGTGCTTCCGTGTTTGGTGCAATCTCTTTCTCTGGCCAAACATGGTAAGGAAGTGACTCTGCTCCCCACAGCACATGCTTGCCAATATCTCCTTTCAGCTGCTGGAGGAAGAGAGGAGGCTGTATATGTCTCTGCTGCTGGGAGCTTGATTTCAGCGAAAGGCAGCAGTCCGCAGAGACACTGTCTTTGGATCAAATCAAGGAGGAAGTGATTAAAAATTATATATTTCAAAGATACATGCAGATCACTGAATTGTTCTTTGTTTATCCAAAATGTGATAATAAAAAGAAAATCAAGGTTAGGATTTCTACATATCCATAAGCCCAGAGCAAGCAAAGAGGTCTTACCAATCCACCCTAATCCAAGGCAGGGATTCAAACACTTGGGGCTGGAGACAACCCCTTTTGGCTTCTAAACTTTCCCTTCACTCCTGATCACAGAAATGCAGCACCTAAAAAAAAACTTACATAGAACCACATCCGTCCCCATTTCTCATTTGAGGCTCAGCAGCTGCTCTGACCCTTTACACTGAGGCTGCACTGTCAACCCAAAACCAACATTTCACCAGGGGAACTGCATTAGAGCACGTTATCACCGCAATGTGCCCTGCTTTGTTTCTCACCAAGGTCTGGGAGCGGTGTGGAGAGGAGGAGGGTGCCTCATTGCTGTGGCTTTTGCCCTTCTCCTATCTATGGCTTCTGCTGCCTGTGGCCAGCCTCCCTGGGCTCAGCTTCGTGCCTCTGAATTTGGCCACCCGAATTGGTGACTTAATTTGTGCTAATCTGTTAGCTGGAGGCGCTCCCTTTTGTCAAATATATGAATGGTATATAATTTTACTGCATGGTGTGAAAATCCTTGCATTCAACCATTTTCACTGCATTCACTCAATTTCTGGTGAAACCTGCCCCGAGTAGAGCTTTGGAGCAGATCACAAACCCTGCAGAGAGGATGTGTCTGGCTCCGGGTCTGGCTCCTGGCTGCGAGCACACCCAGAGTCCCGGAGAGGTGATGCTGAGCTGGCAACAGCAGCCATGGAGTCCTACATCTAGCAGTGACCTGTGTTAAAGTCTTGGCTTGCTTAAATAAAGGCCAGCTGTCTCTGAACACTGAGCAGGTTTCCTTGAATGTAACTATTTGAAGTTAAAGCCCTCTCTGCATCAAGTCTCCAAAGGTGTCACCTTTTACTAGTCACAGAAAAGATCTGTAAAACCAGGGGAGGATAAAAAATATCAAGAGCAGTAGGTTTTGTTTTGCTTAACAAAGCACTGTCTGAAGTGGCACAATGTGGAAATTAAAAAGAACTGAAGGAGAAGAAGGCTGGTAAGGGAAACCTGTGGACTGCTTGACAAGAGGAAGGCTGGGATCTGTTGATTTGGACCCTGTGTTTCAGCTGGGCTCTGCTCAGAGCCAACCTGTCTGTCAGGGAAAAGCCTTAAGCAATGTTTCTGAAAGATAGGGAGAGATATCTTTAGGCACAAGGAAAGGAATACCCACAAAATACCCATTTCTATCTCATATTCAGAGCTGCCAAGTTTCATACTCAACTATAAATCTATTGCTTTCTAACTATAAAGCTGCCTTTGTGTTTTAATGGGAAATCATCTGAAAATTTCCCTGCATGGCATTTTCAGATGATTTAAGAAAAGGCTGTTGATTTCAGACCTCCATAAGTGGTTTGGTAAATAAATACAAAACTGAACAAAAAGATGATTTGATGTTTCCAGTGACAATTTGGTGGCAGTTTTCAGAGACACAATAGTTCTGCATGCAAAATGCATTTCTTTTTATATCATGGCTGGCAGGAATCAGATATCCTTTTTTCTTTTTTTTTTTTTTTCTGCAAATTCATTGAAGAAATTCTGTGGTTTGGTATTAGCAGTACTGTATCAGAAAAACTCATTGACTACTGCTTTTTGCTCCCATTAATAACACCTTCTAGAGGTAGTTCCCAATAACTGCATAATGCATTATAAACCAGATCACTGCCCCAATACTTTGAAAGGTAATTTATGACTGTAATATTCTGTGAAGATTAGCTGTTTCAAAATTCTCACACTTATGGTTTACTAACACAATTTATTTCCAAGTCTTACAAAGAGAGTGAGAAATAGAGGATGGGAGAAGTTGCAATAAATATCTGCTATACAATTTCCAAGGTGTTATTTAACTTTCAAGTCACACTTGGTAGCTGCACAATAGCAGAACAGTATTTTTTGCTGAAGTTAAACTTTTAAAAAATATACTGCATTTAGTATTTTCAACTATTATATAGTTTTTTCATTTCATTATGTGCATATTATATTATTTACTTTTGCCATTATGCATTTAGGAACACATTTTTCTTACTATTATTCTTAATGTTATTGAGTAGAGAGAGCTCAGCTTTAGCATTTTAGAGTGCACCAGAAAAGAAGAAAAAATAATTACATTTATACAAACTAAGTTTGCATTTTTTGATTTCCAGTTTTAAAGATTTCAAACAATAAACTGTCCAACAGCCTCACCCTACAATA